TTGGTTTGTTTTTAAGATGTGTTCACTCTCTTAATGCACTACTGCTGGCGTCTGAAGTTTTACAGCCAGATGCGGACCAAAATGAGGCGAATTGGGAAGTGGATTACAGACAATTAGAACATGTTTGATTTGGTTATAAACTGTTATTTTTAGCTCCTCATGTCCGCGAGCGTACGCTGGACTTCATCAGCATCTGCAAAACAAACGCGAGCCGACGCCCAATCATGTGGTTGAAGCGCCTGCCTGTCTGCTGCTATTATGTCAGTCGTCTTCAGCGGGAAGACGTCCAGGGCTAAATATAGACACTTGAAGGCCCGCTGTTGTCATGACTCCCATGGGACCTCCAGGACCGTGTCGGCTCGGTTAGAGGCCAACTGCAGCCGCTTTCACGCTGCCAGTCCAAACTGACACTTCAGTAAAACGGCACCAAAATGAAATAACGCACTTAGAATGCGATAATAATCCCTTTGAAATTAATGGAAATACCATTCATGAATTCCAGCCTCAACGCAAATGGTTATTTTGGGGGCGGGGTTTTCATTTCGGGTCAATTCAGAGGGATCCCGATTCAATTCGATATGATAAAACTCAAAATGTTGCAAACAAAAATAGCTAGCGTGTCTCGGAGAATGCAACACTTCCAGCAATAACCAAAATTCCACTAGATGGCAGTATCGCTCAGGAAACACCTTTGCTGTTCCTGCTCCATGCGTGTCACAAACGGACTTTCTATTTGACTTTGAATGCACCTAACTTTCTTCTGATAGTTACAAATGGTACTTAACAGAAATTTCATTATTAAAGGGAAAGGTTTGGTTCCTGCGATATATTAAAAAATAAAATAACACCTTTTTGGTGTGAGCGCATTTCGCATGAAACGTGTCAACAGTGTGCGGCATCGGCAAGCGTGCGCATGTATGTACAGTCCCAAAAAGAGCCTGAATCAGTGGCTACCTTTGTACTCAGGGGTGAACTCCTTCATCTCGGGAGGCAGAGATTCATAGAAGCGCTGCTCCCTGCTGATCAGTGGCTTGCACACCGTGTGGTCATCGTAGCGCATCATGCTGGTGTGACCGCCCACCTGAAAACGCACGTTGCGAAAAATGAAACCCATGGAACATTTTTCTCTGGCAATTGTCCTGGACGTGTCGGCTCAGTTAGAGGCCAACTGTAGCCGCTTTCACGCTGCCAGTCCAAACTGACACTTCAGTAAAACGGCACCAAAATGAAATAACGCGGTTAGAATGCGATAATAATCCCTTTGAAATGAATGGAAATACCATTCATTAATTCCAGCCTCTACGCAAATGGTTATTTTGGGGGCGGGGTTTTCATTTCGGGTCAATTCAGAGGGATCCCGATTCAATTCGATATGATACAACTCAAAATGTTGCAAACAAAAATAGCTAGCGTGTCTCGGAGAATGCAACACTTCCAGCAATAACCAAAATTCCACTAGATGGCAGTATCGCTCAGGAAACAACTTTGCTGTTCCTGCTCCATGCGTGTCACAAACGGACTTTCTATTTGACTTTGAATGCACCTAACTTTCTTCTGATAGTTACAAATGGTACTTAACAGAAATTTCATTATTAAAGGGAAAGGTTTGGTTCCTGCGATATATTAAAAAATAAAATAACACCTTTTTGGTGTGAGCGCATTTCGCATGAAACGTGTCAACAGTGTGCGGCATCGGCAAGCGTGCGCATGTATGTACAGTCCCAAAAAGAGCCTGAATCAGTGGCTACCTTTGTACTCAGGGGTGAACTCCTTCATCTCGGGAGGCAGAGATTCATAGAAGCGCTGCTCCCTGCTGATCAGTGGCTTGCACACCGTGTGGTCATCGTAGCGCATCATGCTGGTGTGACCGCCCACCTGAAAACGCACGTTGTGAAAAATGAAACCCATGGAACATTTTTCTCTGGCAATTGTCCTGGACTGTGGACACCTTGGCCCCCAGCCAGCAGTATAACACTGACACAAACAAAGACGAGTTACACAACACCTAAATGATTCAGTCAGCTGCAGTAATATTTGTTGTTTTTTTTTCTCAGAAGATCAAGAACATATGAATGCGAGTATTATACTGGCTGTCTACATGTGTTTCTGCACCTTTTGTGTTGAAATATCCATGGCTCTCAATTTGAAATGTCCTGTGTTTGAATAAATGGATAGATATGGATAGATATTAAAAATGTTTTTTTTTATGTGATCCATCAATGAATTATCCTTAAACACGTCTCCTTCTGTTAGGTCAGTAGCATTTCGATTTATGTGTGAAACTTATCGCTTCCTCTCCATCAGATTTTTGCCGATGCAAATGTCCCGATTGTGGGACTAAAATCGTTTCTTATCTCACGGTGGGTGGGTCTGTAAAATGAATGGGGGTGCCTTGTATTCCACAAAGCCATGAGAAAGTTTGTGAAATTTGACAGATTAAAAAAAAACTCTCTGCTGTTTTGAAAGCAACTGTCACTGTCTATTTTTTTTTCCGACAGGGAAAACTTGCAATTACCACACAAATCAAGCGGCCTCCTGGAAGCGAACCCTTTTGGACTCTGTTCCCCCCTCACCTGGTGCATAAATGGCTCCAGTGGAACGCCTCCTCCTCGCGATCGAAGTGGTGTGCCGCCCCCCGGCCCCGCCCACTGCAGCTTGCTGTCCATGCTGTTGGTGTGCGGGAGGCACATGGCTCCTGGCGGACGAACCGCACCTCCTCCTGCGGATGGCCACGCGCTTTTTACGTGATCTTAAAAGAAGAATTAAAGCGGCACGCTCGGATGTGTCCTTACCCGGCACATGGACTCTGGCGGGCAGTGACGGCGAGGGCGGGGCGCAGGACACCACGGGCTGCTGGGAGCGCACGCCGGCCCCAGGGGGAGGCGGCGCCAGTCCGATAAACCACCTTGCGAGGACTCCGATCTGCTCCGCCGCCCGCTCGGCACAATTGCCCTGCTCAGAACTGCGCGGGGGTCAGCAACAATTCCTGCCGAGAAAGGACATTTTTGTTTTGGGAGTTCCATAATCCGCATCGACTTATTTACACTGACAATGCGGCTATAAAGAGAGAGGATCTGGTGTACAAATGCACCGTCAGTGTTGCCAAATCAGCAATTTGGTTAGTGTCAAATTGTGCCCTTGAGATTTGAGTTAAATTGAAAACACTCTTGACATCTGAAATCATCTTTCCCCTTTGAAATGAAAATTTGCAGCTGCCCAAAGAAAACAAGAAACGCATTGTCCTTTTTTAAAAATAGCACACTATAATACTGTACTTCATAAAATTGACAAAATTAAATAAAAATGCAAAAAAAAAAAAGTATTTTTTTGCTTCAATTTCATGGACATTGCGCTGTTCTCTCTGTTGAATGTTTATGTTTATGTTTGGTTTGACAGTAAAATTCAACTCTGGCACCTATGAAGGGCGCCAATTATATGGGGATTTTTGGCAGGGGTCCATTGTTTCCCGAGGTCAGGTCATTTGTATCTCAGTGAACTAATGTATAGAGCAAGTTATTTTCCAAGCACTCTAGAGACTACAAAAAAAAAAAAACATGACAAACTAAAAGCGCTTAGTGAGCTGATCAGGCTAAGAAAACCGAAAACAGGAGCAAAATCATCTACACACCGGGCACTTCAAATGTTAGGTTTAACTTTCCATAGTCGGCGGGAAAGCTCTTCTTGATTTGTTTTGACAGTCGGCAAGAGTTTGAAATGCTCATTAATGACACTTGTAGGACTTCCGTGGGACAACTCAAACATGCAACCAGCAATTGAGCTGTCAGCTTTGACTTGACCATTTTGAGCATGAGCAATTTGAGTCCACCACCTTGTGGCGGGCGTCCTCCCGCAGCGCACGGCGTTTTCCCAGAAGCGAGGTCCGACGCAGTCGGGCCGCAGATGTTCTCCCGGCTGACGTCTTGAAAGTGTTCACGGAGCACATTTCACGATTCAAGCTGCGTTCCAGCACCAATAAAGCAAAAAATAAAAAATAAAAATAATAAAATAAAAAAATGGAATCAAAGCCGGTCCGTTGCTGAGTAACATCAACAATACATCAAATTATTAGTGTGTGAAATGACGGCAATGGAGAGCCCGTGGAAACAACTGCGGCTATTTTCTCCTCTGTTACCGCATCAAAGACAGGCAGGAGAATAGAAAACAAAAACCCCAAAAGAGACTTTGTGTGTCAATGACAATTTGAAAACAGTTTGGCCAAACATGGCGCAAATGTGCGGTTTTGCGCAAATGTGATGATGAACATGGAAAAAGAAGACAAGTCATTAAAAGGTCCTCCAGACTGTTGGGTTTGGTTTTACTGCCACTAATGAATGGAAAATGCCTTTTTTTTTTTAAACAACCGGTACTTAAAGTTGGAGCCATGGACTTGTATAAAATGCATGCCGATTTACAAACCGTAACAATCATCCCTCATTTGAAATGACTGTTTCAAAGCCCAACTTTGAAACCCTCAGCCAGACTTGAAAAGTGAATTTGAAGCCGAAACCTGACTTGAAACCCTACTTTCCAACTCCAACACAGGGTTAAAATCCTAATTTGAAACCCTGAAGCGTTTTTAAACAAAGCCCCAACTTGAAACCTTAACTTCAGCCCATAACCATTAAACAACAACACTTATTGGAACTTGAAAGCCCAATTCTGGCTTGAATCCCGAATTTGAAACCCTAACCCTGACTTGAAGACCTAACCCGGCTTGCAAACCCTAAAGCTGACTCTAGAACCCACTTTGAAAATCCTAACCAAGGATTGAAACCTTAACCAGGTCATGAAACCCTAAAATTGTTTTGAAACTTCAATTTGGGCTTCACGTCCCCAAATTAATCTCTAAACCTCATTTGAAACCCCAACCCTGGCTTGAAGCGCCAACCCTAATTTGAAACCTTAACTCAGGCTAAATCCTACTCATGTCACACGCGCGTGCGCACACACACACAAACACCATTTTTGTACAAAAAAATAAATAAGTCAATTATAAGAGCACAGACTGAGTAAAAGTAGAGGCCATAAAGTGTCCTCCTGCTTCCCATATGCCAAAAGCTGGACTTTCAGATTAAAAGCTTCAAAGCTTTTGGCTGCCGGGCTTTTATTGAGGACATGTGGCTAATATTTGTGAGCCGAGAAGCCAGTTTGTACTCCGACTGGACGATGTCGACAGCCAATCAGGCTGCTGGTCGAACGCGTCTCGGTTGCTGTTGTGACGACGCTCCTCCTCCTCCCCGTTTTTGTTTTTTAACGGCTGAACCCAAAACTATTTTCAGACTTGTGTGTGCGTGTGCGTGTGTGTGAGAATGGAGCTGATAGGCAAATAATCAGCTTAGGGGTGTGCGTCTGATTAAGTGTCTATTCGGGACTTGAGTAAGCCGAGATGGAGCCGATTAGGCTCAACCTTAACTTGAAACCCTAACCGTGGCTTGATACCTTGAAACTAAAGTGGCAATCTTATTTTGAAACCCTCACCCTGTCTTGAAACTTGAATTGGAAACCCCGAGCTCGACTTGAAACCCGACTTTGAAAGTGGAACTTCTTCAGCGTCATCAATTGAGATGATTGGACTGACTGTCTCGAACTTTGTGAGCTTCCGCCACGCTCAGTCCAAACGACACGGCAACGGAGCGATCAATCAGCGGCGATTCCTTTAAGGCAACGTCCGGCCACGCCCGGAAGCTTGCATTTGGACTTACGTGGGAGCCGCTACGCTCGGAGACGCGCAGTCACGTCAGCCAAAGAGTTCTCTCATCCCGCCTGATCAGTCGGGAGGCACGGCGGGACCTAGTTGGGAAAGGAAGGACGCCGATTGAGCTCAAACGTCTGCAGTCGTCAGCCAAATTCAATGTCATCTAATTATATTCAACAAACGGTTACTGATCGCTTTACCGTTTCATGATTGAATGACTTGTCCATTTATTCAATGGCCTTTCTATTTGATGACCCTGTGCCACACTTAAAAGCGGAAGGAAAACGAACCCCCAACCACCGGGTTGGTCAACGACCACACCGAGCCGTGCCGCCCCCATTGCTTGGAATCGAATCAAAATGCATAAAAAGGTTACTTACACATTGATTTCACGAATTAATGCACATTTTTAAACTTTAAATGAGATAACAGTTTGGTTGATATTTTCATAATCCTTTTGAGAATTTGACTAAAAATAAATAAAAATACAAAGTTAGATATATTTATTGTACAATTCAATTCACTCATGGGCAATTTAAAATATATACACTCGTAGTTATTATATTAGGTAATAGGTATTATATCGCAATCATTTACACTTGCCACGTTTGTTCACAAAACAAAAAAGCTTGAATATGAACAATTCCCCTCATGAAATTGTCATTTTTACAAAAGAGACCTCAAATCGGCTTCAGGGATGAGAAAGTCATCACTGTCCTCGTTGTCGTCACACCCTAACGGTGAAGTTTTGACTCTGCCTGATGTTATTGCTGATGCTGGTGCATTTTCAGGCTCAATATTCCAAACAACAAAAATTAAAGACAGGCTTTCGGACAGAAGCTGCTGACGGGAAGCCGGCTAACGTGGTGGACGTGCTGGAGAAGAGCAGCTCAGGCTTGTTCTCACACGAAACCCCCACGAGCAACACAAACACAAAACACAACTCACGCACCCCAAAATGTTTATGTGTGGTGGCTGTTTAATAAAAAAAAAAAAAAAAAAGAATTAAAATATACACAGCAGCTGCACACAGCTGCGCTCTCTCTCTCTCTCACACACACACACACACACACACACACACACACACACACACACACACACACACACACACACACGCTCCAATCAGCAACATTGTTGCAGAGACACTTCAGGGCAGTCAAAACAGCCGTCTGTCATCTCAGCACAAAATGAGGTCACCATGGCAACCAGAATTCACATGTCAGTGGGGGGGGGGGGGGGGAAAAAAAAAAAAAAAAAAAATAAAATGAAGACGCTCAGCAGGCAGCTGACTGGCTGTTTCGGATGTGCATGTGAAACTAAGGGACTAAGTAAAAGGGATGTGACGAAATCCAAAAGTGCCTGACTCTCATTGGCTCTCGTTCGTCACTGCCGCCTCTGGACAATGTCCTGTCATCTTTGAAAGGGGGAACATTAACGTGATGCAAGCCTTCCTTTGATTTACCCGAACTAGTCCATGTCTGGAACGGGCCTGCCACCAGACACGTCCGGGTGAAAAAAAAAATATCTTGAAGGTGTCATGGAGGGGGTGGGGGGAACATTCTATCCAAATATGGAAGGAGGCGACACTTTCGGGAAGAAGAGCGGACAGCTAATCGACAACTCAGCGATGGTCAAATAAACCCACAAGTATTTTGATCACCAATTAAATGTTTACAACCACGGTTTCACTCTCAATGGTCTAAAATCCTCCTATTTCTGCCTCTCACCAGTACTCAGATTTTTATTGTCCGCCATCTGTGTAATCAAAATTAAACATTTGCAAACATCTGCTTTTACTTTGGAATACAATGAGCAACATTTCTGTGAATTTTATGACACGTTTGGACCGAACCAAATACTAAATCAGGAGTGTCATACTCATTTTTGTCACGGGCTCATTAAGACTGTGAATTTTGTCAAACTGTATAAATGTTTAATCACCTCCGCATGTTACATATTCAGTGCACAACTAGTTTTGAAATCAAAAGTCTAGACAAATGGTTTGTTCAGCCATTGTTTACATAAATGTAATAAGTACGTAACAAAATAATGCTTGCAATATCTCGATGTTATGATGGATGACATATGACAAGTTGAAACTTTGGTTCAGACTTCAGCAAGCGTCATGTAAAAAGTTGACACGCTCGATTTGCTCTTGTGGGCCACACAAAATGATATGGCGGGCCGGACCTTGAGTTTGAAACCTGTGTACTAAATTATAATCAGTTAATGGAAAAAAAAATAATGAGTCTGTTTAATTGATGCCAGGAATCATTATTATTTGCTGTCGTAGTCTGAATAACAAACAAAAACTTGCACTGGCGAAAAGTCTGCAAAGAAATTGCACTGGCTCCATTGAGGCTGGCGTGCCCTCCGACAGGATGCGGACGAGATATTTAGCGGGGCAACGTTGCGGACCCCCGCTGGCGCCCGCTCACAGCTGTGAAAACAGACGAGCAGCGCCAGTGCCCCCCCTTGCAATCTTGTTTATTTGACAAGGTTAGCGCGGACGCATGCTCGCCAGACACTTCATTAGGTACGTGCTCCTCCAAAAAACGGAGAATTTGGGCTCTATTACAGTACTACAGCAGATAGAATCTTTTGCTGCTTTGAAATTCGCACTTGAAATGCCATGAATGCATCGCAGGCCCTCCACCCGCTACACAATGTATTTTTCAAGAACAAAAAAAAAAAATAATTGTCCTGTATTGTCAATTCATCAGTCAGTTCGTTTTTCCCCAATTAATAAAAATTCGGATTGTACGTTTTTTCTTTTAATTTCCATTCCTTTCTTCAAAAACAGGAGATCATTTCAGTCTGACAGTGCGGAAATTGTACAAAATGATTATGATTGAGTTACTGATTTGGTCCTAAATATGTCAGGAATTGGACACTCGTCTTGAATCCATCATTCGATTTTCAACATTCCCGCTGCATTGTACTCAGACTGAAGTGAACATTCCGAACAAGCTCAAAATTTTGACACACGGTCATTTTGGAGAAATAGTGCTAAAACTATTCGCGATTTTTCTCTGATTGTATCGCGCCCTGATCACCAACCCCTGCGAATAACGAAGGTTGACTGTTGATGCACTTGTGTAAACGCCGCGCTGTCTCCTGCAAACTTTTCAACATCCTTCCCTCACAATGTCCCCATTTTGCTTCACACACTCTTTGCACACAAAACCCCAGTTGTCCACGTCCACCAGACGAGACTTTCCTCAAGTCAGGGTGTGAAATTAAGTTCGCTGCCATAACCGGTCAAGCTTGTTGACCTTAGCCTGGCAACACGCTAGCACGCTGGCTAATTAGCCAGCTAGCTATGTCGGATGTGTTCCGGTTTTTTTTTCGAATCACAATATTTAAAAGAGGCGGTTGGCATTTATTCCTTCTAATAATATTCGGGGTGGTGGCTCAATTCTGCGTACCCGACGGGGTAGGCAGTGAGTGGCGTTATTTCGGTTTGGGGTTAATTGATTTTAACGGAGCCCGCGGGATGCTAGCGCCAGGCTAACTGGCTAATCGCTCAACCGGAGACGGCGAAACGTTAACGTCAAAGCGTTACGGTAAACGTTCGCCTCTGCCGGTCGAGCTGGCACAAGCGACACCAAGATGCAACTTACCCGGCTGCCGTGAGTGGCGAAGGTGCTCGGTGGACTGGGGGAGAAGTGTCAAGATGTTGGCTCTCTCAAGCTCCGAGAGCGATGAGGCTGGGATGAGAAAACATTCAGCATCAGGCTAACGTCATGTCAGCGAAGCTAACGCAGACTGTTTGGCTTTTTACACTTGTTATGCATTCATGTGAGGATTTGGCGCCCCCCACAGTTTGCTTTGGAAGTGACATGTCAAAACGCTTTTTCGGCGGCCTCTATTCACTCATTAATTCACGTTTTTTTTTGTCGAATACAAGTGATCGTGTAGAATACACGTAAAGTTGATTTTGAATTGGCTCGCGATCATTTCGCATTTGCGGTTCTTCTTCCGGGGTGTTTTACATATCGATGTTTTACTTTCGCGAACCCGTGTTATTGAAAGCCTTTCTACACAGAGTACATTTTGTTCGCCCACTTTAGGCGGAAGTCATATCTGGTAAGGTTACTTGAGCAGCCGCGTTTTATTTTTATTTGCTGAGGAGATGCGCTTACTCCATCAAACGTGTTCGAAAGTACAAAATTCCGAGTTTTCTCCAAAGGCAACATCGCATTAACTGTTAACTCTTCTCCGACGCAAATCTGCGTGATTGGCTGTTCATTTGAACGATGAAGGGTTTATCACCCAATCGGCAAGCACAGTTCAGGTCGTCGTCAGCAAACATCCAGCAACCAGGAAGCACGGACAAAAGCAAATTAAAGGCGAAAACAAACGTATTTTATATGTTTATGTAATGAGAACTCGCCACAGATATTTTCTTTTATATCAAACAACTTTGGTCGTGATTATTGTATGCTGCCATGTATCTCGGGTAAATCCATTTTGAGATTAGCTCCCTCGACAAGCGTGTTAAATGCATGTCGCAGTGAATCGCGCATAGACTTAACTCCCGCATGACAAAAATAATTATGCCAACCTAGGAGGAGGAAAAAAAATATTTGCTGATATTATTGTATCTTTGTGAACAGAGACGGGCTGCTCTTTGAACTTCAAAATGGGAAACCCAAGCTGATTGTCCTCGAGCACGGTAAGCAAGCATCTCACGCCTAATTCCTGCCTTTTTCTCTTGGAATAACTTTCAAATTTTCATATTTTGCCCACCACAGGTGTCGAGAGGAATCTTGTCAAGGTCTGAACCCCCATAGCTGTTGATCTGTTGTTTCTTAAACCGTTTTGCACTGAGCAGCCAGGTCGGCTTTACAATGGTTATCACGTTTACCTTATTAACCTACTACTAGGGGAAAAAAAACGTATAAGAAAGAGCAAGGTGTGTGATCATGTATATTTATACACCTCGCAGACACTAGGTGGTGAGGTGTTGTGAACATGGTTATGATTTGCTGTTATACTGTATACAGATATTTAAATACAGTGAAACTTTCAACGATGCAACACAGATTCACTTAATATATATATAAATACAAGTGTCATAAAAGTGTAAAAATAACCCAACAACTGACTTTTTCAACAGAATTCTCTCAGGCCTCGCCTAACCTACGTCCTCAACTCCAGGCAGCCGTCCCGTGCCGAGGATGTGCGGGCACTGCGTCCGGCCGGGCGACGCCCGGCGGGGCAGCACCCGGTTAATCCTAGAGGTGCCAAGGGACAGGCGGCAGATAGTAGAGCCTCCTTTGCGTCCAGCGGGGCAGCAGACAGAATGCGAGGCAGTCAGACAGCCTCTAAACCACGGGCGCGTCGTACGGCAGCAGCCGGAGCTGAAGCTGCACCCAAGGTGAGTTTCCAGCTTTTGAATGTTCTCCCTATCATCACAAGTGCATATTGCGAATGCTGTGAGAGGGAGAGACTTTCACGGGCAATATTTTACAGTGCACTTTTGCATTAGGGGTAAATGGGTAAGTCCCCAACCAAATTGATGGCGCTATATTTGATCCTTTTGCTGTCTTGCTTTCCGTCTCCATTATCGCATGGGAACATTTTATATTTAAGACAGTATAGCAATTCATTCCTATCAATTTCTACGGTGTATGCGCGTGTTGCAGATTAAGTCAGAATGCCGGAAAAGCAGCTCCACCTCCGCCAAAGGAACATCTGCACAGTCTGAAAGATGGGCTGAGGCATCCGATGCAAAGTCGAGACCAAAAGACTTGCTTGACGACGACGGACTGAGAGACACAGCGGCGTGTTTGAGTGGCGAGCAGGTTCCGCACATTCTCAGCAACGTCCAGACCTCCGGTCATGATCGATATGCTGCAGAAGAGCACAGAGCGCCCACTCAGCCTGGTGAGTGATAACAGTGACAAAAAAAATCACATTGATGGCACTTTGAAGAGTCATGTTGCTACTCGTGAAATTCACTTTCACTACATCACACAGTAGAGGAAGAAGTAGTAGGAGGAGGAGAGATGGAAGAGGACAGGGTAGGATGTGATGAAACAAGTGGAATATCACCACCTAAAGACAGCAGGTAACGCCTTTGTGTCTTCTTCATTCTCACCATTTTAGCATTGTAAATAATGGTACGTAACACATGACAAAGATATGCAGAGCACCGTCCTGGGCATGTTGGTACCAAGGAACTCCATTGAAGTGAATTGAGTGGCTTCATTCAAACAAAAGTAGTGCCTTGTCATCATCTTGTGGCATTTGCAGACAATTGTAAACATTTTGGGAAGACGGCGTCAGTGTCTTGCATTTTTCTCCCATTTGCATTCAGGGCTCGGCCCCGATGCGCCGCTAATACAGTAGTGACTTTGAATTGCTACTGTCATACATATATAAAAGTCAAGTGTCACCTTGTGGTGTTTAATATGTGGTAACTGACTGGCAGCAATATTAACAGCGGTAATAATGATTTTGTAGGTCTCATGGAGGTCTGTTTGGCTGGCTGGAGCAGCGTGACGTTGACACCAGAGCATCCGTGGAAGCCAAGAAGGTTCAGTGGAGGCAACAACTAAGTATGTTTTCCCTCTCTCCGAACCTGTTGAATGTACAGTTAATTTAACACATGGTATAAACTTTCAAAGTACTACAGATAGGCAACGCAACATACTGGAAATGCAGGCACAATATCTTCACGTTGTTGTGTTCATTGTTGTGCACATGTGCCGCAGACGAGCAGGTGGCCCTGAAGCAGCAACAACAACAACAACGTTGTTGTTCAACCTCACTCGGACTTCAGGTAGGCTGAATGAAATGGGCTTCTTCCTCACGAAACAATCAAAGTATGCCTTGAGGAACTCCTCCCCAAGCTGCTCACACATATTTGGAAGAATGCAAATGTCAAAAATATCCTGTAAAGACTGATTAGAGTGCCACCTCTCATTCATTGAGTCAGTGTGTCCCAATACTTTTTCTTTGAATACTCTGTTACTTCACCTGACATCAGGATAATATTACAGGGCCATCTTCTTCCATTAAATATTTCTGCCTTGATTTTGTTTATGTAGGTAGAGGAGGGACCAGGCAGTGTGTGTTCAGTTCAGCTTGCGGGCTGCCACAAAGAGCAGCCGGCAGCCATCAGGTCCAGCCTCAGACTCGGGGTATAAAAAAGAAAATCACCTCGTTACATTATTAAAAAAAAAAACATCTAAGTTATCTGAAAGTAAAAACATGATTTGTGTGTGTTTAGGCAGTGACTCCCATAGAGGAGGCTTTGGCATTGGAGAGAAAAGAGGAGCAGAGGAGGCTCTGGCTGGAGGATCTGGACCGACAGAGGGAGGAAACCAGCCAGCGAAGGAGGCGAGAGAAGATGCTGCACAACCAGGTGTGAAAGTAACACAACAGACACAACTCCCATTTGAGGTTTACTTCAGAACTGAACCTAAAATCTTTTGAAAATCTGCTAGCTTAATGCTAACGCACAATGTACTACAAAACACCAGAGGACCAATGTTGAGGGAGTCGCAACACTGTCAGCAACATATGCAGGTGGTCAATAGAAGACATGAATATGTTCTTTATCCTCTGTGAAGAATCTTTTTTTTGTGTGTGTGTGTGACTGCTGCGTGTGCAGAAAGAAGATCACGAGCTGTGGGCTGCGCACTTTGACTCAATGCAGCGCAAACCTGCTCCAGTGACTCTTGCCCCACCAATTTGCCCACCCGTGGACCCACCTGGAGCCCCCTCTGGAGACTGGGAGGCGTCGTCCAGCTTGTCCCTTACGTGGGACGCCTCCAGCAGCTGTGGAGCAGAGAGTGTGGGCAAAGCAAGAGAGGACATCAGCAGCAGCAGCAGATACCCCACCAGGAGCAGGTACTGTATATAGTGAACATGTTCTGTGAATAGAGAACATGTCCAAATAAGGAGTTTGTAATTACGTATATATGCAGTGAATTGGTGGCAAAGCACTTACAAAGAGAGAAGATCATCAAGCACCAATGTCATGCATGTGGCATGCACACAGTCATGATCCCATGTTACATTAACAACTGTATACGCTCGCGTAAGCATAAGCGGATTAGAAAATGATTGGATGGATGAATTGCGGGTGGGTCTGTAATGTATTCCTCAGCAATAAAATGGGTACTCACTGTCATTGAAAGCACACCGCCGATGAATTGAGAAATCCGCAAATGTGTTTTGTAGCTATCTTCGGAGCATGACTGCCTTGCTGGATCCCGTCCAGATGGAGGAGCGGGAGAGAAGGAGGCAGAAGCAGCTGGAGCAGCAGGTACGTTTCCGCCTCCGGACTTGATGTTGTCGGCCAGCTCATCTTCGTCCCTGCTCCTCATCCAGAGAGACATCCAAGCTCAGATGGAGGAGCGCCGGCAGCAGAGGCAGGAAGAAGAGGCCAGGAGGAGGATGGAGGAGGAAGAAGAGGAGAGGAGAATCACGCTGGAGAGGGACCTGCTGCACAGGAGGTACCAGCAGGAGGACCACAAGCATCGGGAGGAACGCAAGGTCGGAAAAAAAAAAATGCACGAATGTACAGAGTCAACACAAGACTTTCAAACTAGGGTTAGGGCTTCAAAGTAGGCTTTCAAACTAGGGGTGTGTGTGTGTGTGTGTGTGTGTGTAGAAGGAGGAACAACGAAAGAAACAGGGTGATGATGATCAGGACGACGCTGGAGGAGTGAAGGAGTCAGTGGGAGTGCGTGGTGAGTCGGCAGTGTGACACCGTCTCTCACATGCACAAACACACACGCGACCCATGCGTAGCTGTCAATCAAACCCTGCTTCTTGACAAGTGTGCAAGCGCACGTATGTGTGTGTTGTGCAGCGTCACGTCCGGCTGCGAGTGTGGAGGACAAGAGAGAGAAGGCCGTGCAGACAGGTAATTGATGACTTCATTTGCAATAATTCATCTACAAATCACTAATGTGTGTGCGTGCGCCTGTAGAAGCAGCTCCTCTTTCTGCCGGAACAGAGCGCCCTCCCACTCTTTCCAAATGCAAGAGCAAAGCAGACAAGGAGAACACGCGTGTGCCTGGAGGAGGCAAAGGCGACGAGGCCTACGAGGCCTTCGCCAGGACGGAGAAGAGGAAAGAGAAGATGAGGCCGCAGTGGAACACACACAGGTACAAAAAAGCAGTACTTGATGGCTGCCATTTTCACCAAAAGGTTTTAGGCTTGTCACTATTATAAAAATATAACTGACATGAAAAACCATTACCTGGATGAACGGCGAGTGAACATCTGACGTAGCAAATGCATCCTGAAAGCACCTTATTGCTTATGCAGAAAGTGTGTGACGTGTTTGCAATTCTGCCCTCCGTCAGCGCTTGCTTTAAACTGTTAGACGACACCGCAGTTGGAGTTTACTGTTGAATTAAACACACAACAAAAAGATTAACACACATTCTGTATTTAAATACAAGACATGCTACGTTTTACAAACTGCACCAGCACAAATGCTAAAGTCAATGTGAAATGCCATTGACATGCTAACGGCAATTAGCATCAACTTCTGAGGGTGATATACCTTGAAAATATCGAATATTTTCGGACCTTGGCCAGACGCCCCCCCCGTGATTTGTTCGACAATGACTGGGTTTTAACAAACCTGAAAATACCTTCGCTTTAGTCTATTTTGTCTTCTTTTGCCCACGCAGGCCAAGCCGGCGCTTCGTCCCCGCGTCGGAGCGTTACCCGGCCACGCTGCAAAGGAGCAGACGGGAGAGTCGACTCAAGAGGCAGGAGGAGGTCCTCGGTCTCCAGCACAGGAACTGCCTCCCCACAAACCGACAGGAGCCGCGCAGAGACGCAAGTCGGCCTCCGAGCCACAAAGTGAGCGCTACTGTGACGACGACGTCAGAGCGCCGACACGATGGCATGATTACATGATGGCGTCATTTCCCGAAGCTTTATATATCCATTAATGCAAGTGGGTACAAAGCAGTGCCGACCTGGCTGCAGCGGACTAAACCGAGTCAAAATAAAAGCAAATGCTGTGCAATGTGATGTACACAAACTGTAGAATAAACATGAAAGAATTAGAGGTGCAACAATGAACTGATTAATTGAAAAGTAATTGACCGAACTATTTTGATAATCTTTGAACGACCTTGTCAGTTAGAATTTCAGCTTCTCAATCAGGGTGACTATATCCCATGACATGATGGTCCGATGCCACTAGTATGACGTCCTTCTCTTCATTTTTTTTTTTTGCTTGCAGGAGGATTCGAACCGTGTGAGTGTTTCTGCCAAAAGGTGAGACATACACTTGATGTGAGCGCACCAGACGTACCTTTAGTGGCTCCAATATATCCTCCACCTCCTCCAGGGGGCGCTCTCCTCCCATCACACAGCCCTCCCTCCAGTACCTCCCATACATCCGCACTGATGATGTTGTCCACCTGGACCCCATCGAGACGGCCGACGCACCGCCTCCTCACGCGCACACAGGTATACTCACACAAACACACACACACACACAGACATACAAAGTGTTACTGTTGTGTGTTACCGGCGACCTTTCCTTGTCATCAGCAGCTTCACGCTCGACGCTCCCTCCTGACATCCCCTCGTCCTCCTCCCCTGGGGAGATCCTCGTCCTGCGTGGCACCCAGCGACAGCAGGAAATTCTGAGGGGCCTCGCGCAACTACGACAGGTATAACACACGCAACACACACCGCCACCACAACTACTACTACTGCATGAATTGAGTCAATACAACTACACAAATCGAGTCAGAACAGCTTCACAAAATGGAGACAGCACATCGACACAAATTGAGTCAAAACCATGCAAGTTGAGCCAACTCAACTTCAAAAGTGACTGTTTTGTGTGTGTGCATGTAGGGTTTACTTCAGAAGCAGATGGAGCTGAAGGGTGACCTGCAACGTCATGGCAACGAGCGCCTGGCTCCCCCCAAATGTTAAAACATTCTTCCGGGAAAACAATTTTTTGTTCTTCGTGTCAAACTTTCAACCGTGGTTATTTTACAATTCTTGCATAGAGCCACCACACCATGCCATCATGACCCGCCGGCATGTCCACCGATGTGTTTTTAGTCGCCCACCACAGATTACACAACAATGCAATTCGTTGGTTTTTGTGTGAAAGGCAATAAAATGGCAATTCTGCAAGATATGTACGAAAGGGGATATCCTGTATCTCCAATCATTTGTAATTGCATTTACTTAATTTATTTTAGTTGTAAATAAAAGTATAGGCAAACAATTTGATGTTGACCTGTACTCGTTTTAGTGCAAGTTGCCAATTTTTACTCTTGTGTGTTGTACTTTGCTCACTTTACGGTGAGTCGTGAAGTTGATATTTCCGTTGTCTTGTACATCACACACTGTACTCATTCTGGTGCTGGATGTCGACTAAATGTCACGCTGCCAAGTTAAACTGGCTTCAGCGGCTCGTGTTTCAATTTGGGGGCCCCAAAAAGCCTTCCTGTATGTTTTCGAGCACGAAATGTCTGCTTTAAGGCCAGATGGCAGCATGCATGATGGCAGCGTGCAAGAATGGCAGTGTTCATGTTTTTTTTTCAGGCAATGGCTTCTTGATTTTTTTTTGTCAAAATAATTGTAATGTTGCAAAGTTAAATAGCTTCAGGTGCGGAATTTAAAAAAATAATCCAGAAATGTTTCCCCAATCTGCCAAAAATATATGCTTCAGTTTTTGAAGCAATCGGACAAAATCTGTATGACATTTGGAAAATAACACAAAAATTTCAAAACTCAGCCAAATGTCTAATTTCACAACGCAGCTTTTGGTTACTAAAGTTTTAATAACAGTATGTGATTTAAAAAAAAAAAAAACAACAAAAAACATGAACAGTAGTAAAAAAAAAAAAACATAAGTTAAAATCACTCATCAAAAACAACTTTCAGGGACAAAAACATTTTTTTAAACACAATTTGCAATCCTCGTGAAGGTCCATTCAAAACTTTTCATTTGTAGTTTGGTTTTTTTCGTGAACAAACATGCACCTCTGCATTAGCATCATCCTAAAAGTGATGACAACAAACGTTTTTTTGTTTTTTTAAACAATGTGTGGAAAGAAAATTCACAAAGAGCCTGCGGAATTCAACATGTCAGGCGTTGTGACGAAAACCAGTGACTTTCTAGTAAAAAGAATAATTTTAAGATCCACTTACGCACCGGGCCTCTCCTTGCAACAGCGCCCTCTACAGTCTGAACAGGTCAACACACCTGTCTAGATTGCTAATTGCCGAGGTGATGAGAAGAAGGTAGCTCGGTAACAGGGGTTCTACATGCCATTAAAACGCCCTCGCTCTCCTCCTCGCGGCCAGTTCCAATAAGCGTCGTACCCCCCTGCAAAGCGTTGTCTCGGAAAGCCCCACGCGGGGTTCCTGCTTGGGTCTGAATAAAAATTGTAGTGTTGAGGGTGCTGCTGATTCGGGTACCGGTGGTTCTGGTACTGATGATTCTGGTAGTGGTTGGCGCCCCTCCATCGTTGGTGTTGTTGGATGACATTGGAAGGGGCACGGGAAGGACTCTGGCGGGGGCGCAAGTCCACGTCTCGCTTTGGCGACTCGTTCTTATCAGACTTTGTGCATCTGAAGGAGGGATGAGATGCCATTCAAACCAACATTTGGGAGGAGGACTTACTTGTTGTAGAAGCCTTGAAAATGCTGGATTCACCCCCTGAAGTTAATTTCACTCAGCAATGTGTAGCTTTTTGTATCCATGTCTATCATGAGTAGACCCACCAAAAAGTGTCAAGAAGACATGCGGGAAATGAGATATGTCGTAATTTCGGGCCTGGGTCATTTTAATGATTTCCAGGAGTCTTTCGAATGCATTGAAATTCCAGCCCCTGAAGTCAGTTTGACTGAGCACCATGAAATTTGGTAGACAAGTCTATCATGAAAAGGCCCACAAAAAAGTCTCAAGAAGCCATGTCTGAAAAGACACAGAAAGTCTGCCATTTAGGTGTGAATCAGCCATTTCTAGTTCAATTTGGCCACTTTTGATGGTCCTTCAAATCTTTTGATAATTCAGCCCTCAAAATCGGTCTGAGTGAGCAGCGTGAAATTTGGTCGAGATGTCTCTACTAAGTAGACGCGCAAAAAAAGTTTCAAGAAGCCCTGTCTGATAAGACACAATAAATCTGACATTTTGGCTCCAAGCACATTTGGAAAAGGGGCATACAACTGACCTGGTTGCCTCGCCCTCCAGAGGGCAGCCAATTGGAGTGGAGGAGATGCTGTCTTCTCCTTTTTTTGAACTTGAAGGCTCCACCTCCTCTCTCCTGTCATTGGTAGAGACTACAAGTGTGTTCTCATTGGCCGGCGGCACTGTTGCTCCAGCCGGTGAGACTTTGTTTTCAGTGTCAGAAGCCTGTTGTTGGTTCCTCTGCGCTCGCAGGTGCGTGATGGCCATGTGCAATATGTGAGCGTCATTTTCCCCGAGGGTGGTCTCCGGATTTTGCTGCTCCGAGGCGTAACCGAGGCTCGGGTCGGTCTGAGGAGACTGCTGCTCCACGGTGCCGCCGTTCGTGTTGTCATCGCCGCTCAGCTTCCCGGCGACTCCTAAAGATGGAGGAGATGCATTGTGGGTATGTCGGAAAACATGATGGAACCTGCAATGTTGGGCAGTATAAATTTCAAACAAAAGATTCCAAAAAATAAAATATGATGTGATGAGTTTCACGTTCTGACGTAAGTTTGATGTTTTAAGGGGATAAGTTTCACATCATGGTATGATCCTTTTCACAATATAAAATGTTTCAAATTAGAAGATAAGTTTCAGATCATGATAAGATAATTTTCATTTTGTCACGCACTAAATTTCACATGATCTGATTTTCACATTCAGACGTCATACAGTAAGTCTTCACATTTCAATTTACGTTTCACATTCCGACACGAGTTTTGTATTTTTACCGAATGCTGAAGTCACGTTGGTCATGTGTCAACGTTTTCATGTTGAAATATTTTGATACTGAACTTTTTTTGTTGTCCGCGCATGGCCCTGATATGCTTTTGCATCCGCTTTTTGACTGTAACCTCCTGAGGTTTACTGCCGGACAACCATGAATTGAGCCGGACGCACCTTTGGCCGTGTGCAGGTCCTCCGCGGCGCTCTGCTTGTTGCTGTCGTCGCGGTGGCCGAGCAGTGCATCGAAATTTTTCAACATCTCGTCCACGGCGGCCGTGATGATGCCGCTCTTGGAAAACCGCATGAAGTCCAAGATATGCACTGAAGACAGAAAAAAAAAGTGGGCGAGAGAGAGAGAGAGAGATGATAATGAACTATTCAATAAGCACACTCCTCCAAATTTAATTTGGGAAATTGAGCTTTGAGGTGAAGTTTCAGGATGGACCTAAAAAATGCAGTGTAACCTTTCCACAGATGATCTTAATTTGACCTGGTGTATCCACGCCCAATTGCACTTTTTGCACATATGTGTATTTGCTGTTCTCAAAGACGTGCCGAAGAAAATATTCGGCGCTCCTAAAAATTGGAAGTTACCTCTGAGGAAAACGGTGTGTCTGAAGCGGGTGTTGTGGGCCTGATGTTGGATGAGACAGTGGAGGTCAGGCGACGGCTGTTTGCTGTTGTCACAGTGATGCTGCGGCAGGACCTCCACGATCTTCCGCTGGTGGTGCTTGAGGATGACGTCCAGCAGCCCGGCGGCATCTCTCCGGAACCTGGTCGCCAACAACACCGACAAAGCGACTCGTCACATTACTTGCGGTCACACAAGCACAAATTTGTGTCAGCTTGGAGTCCAGCACTTTTCAGAACGGGGACACCAATGTTATCAAAGCAGAATCCACATTTATGCCAGAACAGCCGTAGTAGAATTCTTACCTGGCCTGCTCTTTCAGCTTCTTGAGGGGTTTGCTGTGAATCTTCCACCTCCAAACATTTTCCGGAGAGTTGCGCTGCTCCAAAAGCTCCATGAGGCCATCCAGTTGATCTGCAATGACAAACCGGTCATCAGCCGAGCCGCGGCGAGGAGACAGCGTCCGTCCTTCCCCCCAACGGCGCATCCTACCAGGAGTGACCAGGTCGGGATTGAGGACGAGGTCTTCGGACAGGATGCAGCCGCCACACACAAACAGCTGCTCGTACCCGGGGGTCTTGAAGTCGTCCACCGTGTCGATGCCCAGAAAGATCACCGACTGGTGCTGCTTGAGTGAAACCAAACCGGGAATCTGAAAACAACAAGTCCACAAATGTAGGGGAGTTGGGTGGGGGTATTGTAGCAGTTACAAAAAAAGAAATGGGACATTTTGCCTCTAATGGCATTTAAGAGTTAATCAGCTTCTTTGCAGTGGTTATTCAATTTTTTTTTTTTTTTTTTTTTAAATGATGCCCGTTCCACACAGCAACATGAAATATGCTAAGCGTGTCCATCATGCGCAACAACAAACAACAAAGGCCTCAGCTTAGTGGCGGCATCAACTCGCAAATGTGCCGTTTTGATCACCTCGTGAACGTGCTCCGCGATGTCTTTGTTCTTGATGATGACCAGAAGTTTGCGATCAGAGACTTCTTGTTTCAAGAAGGAAACAGGATCCTGCTCTGTGAGACCTTGCTGGGTGAGGTACTCCTACAACAACACAGCCATACACAGATAAAGATATGAAGTGTCTTGATAACATTCCACAGAAAGTGTGGAAAAGAAACACGTAGAAGAATCTCGGATGGCCAACATTTTGATAACGACGTCCATGAACTTGACAACGGTATCACCTCATTGTCATTTCAAAGGTACTTTGATTTCATGACCATACTGTATTACAGTATTTATTGTTGAAACGTTTTAGTATTAAAAATCACAACACTACACAGTTGACTGTAGGAGAGAACTTGATTTTAGAAACACACTTTACTAAAAAGAAAACTAACAAAAATGCTATAAAAAAATTCGCAAGACAAGCAAACTCATACGAATAATAGTCAGAAAAGTGCAGTTAGTGCGATATATAATGGCTTACTTCTGTGCGATAGTAGTACAGTTTTGCCAGAAGGCGATAATGGATTTAAATGCCGCAAACGTATTTATTTATTTTTCCTCCACGGAGCGGAGGAAAAATTAATGTGAAGGGTGGAATGACAGTCCCGCACAGCGCATTTCACAGGCCAGTCCACCGAGAAATGGCCAGAACGTCCAGATTACCGCAATGGGCCTGGTTCTGTCCGTACACCACAACGACGACGGCGTTACCTTGACGTTCCTGACCAGCTGGTCGTC